GTTGTCCTGGAGCTGACGTCCCCTTTCTCTTTTCTCCCTTCCAGGCCCAAGGGTTTGCTTAGGGGAGAATCTGGCTCGGATGGAGTTGTTCCTGTTCTTCACCAGCATGCTGAGAAACTTCCAGATCTCCTGGCCGGATGAGTCAAGTGCGCCGGATTGCGCACCCCAGTTTGGTGTCACTCTGTCTCCATTGCCTTTTAAGGTGTCACTGAAGCAGCGCCAGCAAAAATGAATCAAGCAGGACGCTCGAATCCAGAGGGAAGTGTTTCCAAGCCCCCATCCCACCGATGCTGATAAACATGTATTGTAAAAGAAGACTATTTTAATAGCAATCTCTGTCCATGACATGGCCTTTGGCTCTCTCTAGTGGCTAATTCTTGTAACTTCCTCTTTAGAAATACAGTGGTGCCTCGCTTAACGAGCGCACTGTTTAATGACGAATCCGCATAGCGACCCATTTTTTGGGGTCGCTAATGCGATCACATTGCGATGTTTAGATAGGCTAAACATTGCATTGGAATCATTTCTGCACCCGGCGGCCACTTTGGGAACAGCTGATCGGCGGTTCCAAAATGGCCACCGGGTGAAGAAAATGGCCGCCCGCACCATTTTCGCGGCCTGCCCTCGCTTACCGAGGGCACGAAAATGGCTGCACTATGGAGAAACTTTGCAGAACGGTGAGTTTAAGAGCCATAGGAACGCATTAAACTAAGTTTAATGCATTTCTATGGCATTTTCCGTTCCGTATAGCGATGTTTCCCCATAGCAACGGTTAATCTTTTAATAGGTAAATCTGTGAATAAGTGAATTAGTGAATCCTGATTCCGTGGATATGGGAGTTCTACTGTACGTCTGGAAGAGATCCAAATCTTGTTCTTGATCGATCCGAGTTTAAGAACATTAAATATCAAGAAATAAAGAAGACCAGAGTTCGAGAATAAATACATGTCAATAAAATACTCCCCCTGGATGACTGAAAATCTTCACAGATATATCATTTTGTTGGATTTTGCTGATTCTGATTTGTATGGTTGGGTGTTCCATATTTTTCCCCAAATATTTTGTGGTATGCTGATATTTAAATTTGTTACCCAAACTATATTTGGACATGTGCTGCTACCATATTCTTTATCCAGAATGCTTTTATAAATTAGTGAAATTAGTCCTTTTTTCTTTTTATTATTCTGATCTATACAATACTTTTCCAGCTCTGTTAATGGTCCTGACTTTTTATAAAATTCAATTGTGACATATCTTCTCTGAAATAATGAAACTGGTTAGCTGCTATTTTTGTAGTCTTTTCTTCTAACTGACAAATTTTAATTGGTTTTCCTTGTACAAACAGATCTTTTATTCTATAAATTCCTATGTTCTCCCAAATTTTAAACTGAAGATGTTTATCCTTAGATTTAAGCTGAGAGTGTTCTGAAGAAGGACACGAGGGGGATATTGGAGGGGCAGGAATTTCCACTTATTTTCTCAATATTCTCATTGCTTCTATAGTAAAAAGATTCTGTAACCGAGTCCCATTTCTCAGCAGCCAAGATGTGTATAGCTGTGGCTTAATTGGGTTTGTTTCCCTTTCCTCTTCCATCTGAGCTCATTCAGGGCTCTCTTTTTATTTTATAAAGTTGACTACTTAAGCTATTTGAAAAGCTTCATAATATTTCATTAATTGCAATATTGATAATCCTCCTTTTATACTTGGTCGATAATTTGCAGAATGTATGAATCTTATTGTTTTCCTGACATAAATTTTTCCAAGAGTTTTTTCCTACTAAATTTTATCTTTTTCATTTTGGGTATACTTTGGAATAAAAGAATAATTTTAGTAAAATATGGGCATTTACAGTTGTTATTCTCCACAATAAGGATTAATATAGTATTTCTGCTTTCTTTATTTTTCTTCATACCATTGCAAATATAGCTCCAGCTTCTCACCCTTTTTCTCTGACATCATCAGAAACTGGAAGGATGATCAGTAGTGCAAATGGGCTGACATTAATTTGCTAGAGGAAATCGATCAAACCATGTAAATATGGGCATTTACAGTTGTTATTCTCCACAATAAGGATTAATATAGTATTTCTGCTTTCTTTATTTTTCTTCATACCATTGCAAATATAGCTCCAGCTTCTCACCCTTTTTCTCTGACATCATCAGAAACTGGAAGGATGATCAGTAGTGCAAATGGGCTGACATTAATTTGCTAGAGGAAATCGATCAAACCATGTACAGCCAAAAAGAGAAAATTGGGAGGAAAAAATAATTCACTGCCTTGATTGTTAACATAAACCATTGTGTAAATTGTAGTAAATTACTAGAACTGGCCTGACATCTCCCCCAAATTTCATCTTGTCTTTCGGGGATGAGTTGAATTAACGTGAATTACTCGTCATCAGAGAAAATGTTGCCAAGGCTAGTGTTTAACTTTAAAAAAAAAAACCAAATCAAGTCGTTGAAGTGTTTAATATATTGGTGGAGGCCTTTCTCTTGATCCCACCACTTTAACTTGTGCATCTCATGGGGAACGTGGGTCCCCCCCCTGCCCCGAAAGTGCCCTTTAGTGGCCGGCTTGGGGAAACCCAGTCTTCACCAAATGTGGAGGGATTGTAGAGGAGAGTCAGGAGAACCTTCTCTGTGATCTTCGAGTCTTCAAGTGCCAGAAGGAACTTTCTTGGGGTTGCACTCTTTCTAGGTGGATGACTTGGATATCTGAAATCCAGTCTTCACCAAAATAAGGGGGCGTCCAGAGGAAAGTCATGGGGAGGTCTTCCTTGACATTTTGGTGTCTCTAGCTTCCAGGGGAGGCATTTTATGTCCAAACAAATCAACGAATCAAAAATCATTATCAATTTGTTGATTCATATTCATCATGGGCATAGATTCCTACTAATACAAATCAACAAATCAGCACAGGGAGCGACTCCCAGCGAACACCTGCCTGCACAGGAGATGCCACGTCAAAAGGCACCGCTGGGAAGGAAAGGGGAGAAGTGAGGCAAAATTCAGGGAAATCCCAAAGAAAGATAAGGTCCATAACATCTGAAGCCAGGCGTGTGATTCTCTTGGGCATTGTGGTCCTGGCACCTCTGGCACTCCAAATCTGAGAACCATGAAATTAGGTTATAAATAATTTCCTCTCTCTTCGTCCTCCCAAATTATGTTCCCCAGGGCAGCCGTTTCACTCTCTGTAAACCTAAGGCTGGCCCTTCAGCTCTGTTCTTAACTTTCTGTATACTGCCATAGTTCTACAACAATTTCACTCTCTCTTTTGTGATTTGATAACTTGGTGACACATTTCCTGTTCCGGGTGGGACGAATCAGCTCTTGAAGGCAGAAATCCAGCCCGGTTCATAGACACTCTTGTTGTTGTGCTCAACCTTTCCACCGGATGAGAATAAAAAACTTTCTGTTCAGGAACAGCTGCCTTCATTTAAAAAAGGGGGGGGGCAGGTTTCTGTTCAAACGTCACCTTTGCACCCAGACAAGTGCAAACAGCTCTCAGCTTTCTCCTCGCTTCCGGAAAGCTGCCACAAACAACCGCAGAGTCTGTGATTGCCTTCGCCATGGAGGTTTTCAGCTGGCTGCTGGTGCTATCCATCATCCTCTACTATTTCTGGAAGCGTGGACGTCCCAAAGAATTACCTCCAGGACCACGACCTCTCCCGTTCTTTGGCAATGTGTTTCAACTGGGTTTTCGAAATCCCTTGACGTACTTGCAAAAGGTAAGGGGCTATTGCTATCCTACCACCCGGTCAAGATGAAACGAGAAGGGGACTGCCATAGCTTAATCAGCTGAATGTGTGGGACCTAACAATTAGAATAATGCTTGTGTTGACTTGTTTCTTTTGCAGAAGGTTCAAATGTTTCCTCTTGGGATAGAGAGCATTCTGTTCAGCATGTTCCATGAGTGGTGTGCTACTTCTTGCATCTCTCACTATTTCTTTTCAGTTAACTAAAGAATATGGACCTGTCATCAGTTTGTATCCTGGGACAAAACCTATAGTTTTTATTCAAGACTTGAGATTCGCAAAAGAAGTTCTGTTGACTAAAGGAATCGAATTTGCTGGGAGGCAAGACAATCATATTATTGACCTTATCCATAAGAAAAAAGGTATCTGAAGATAAGTTCTCCTGTATTCCATCACAGCTCAATGCACGGGCATTATGCATTTATCAAGTTATTCGAAATCTTCCATAAGAAAAAAGGTATCTGAAGATAAGTTCTCCTGTATTCCATCACAGCTCAATGCACGGGCATTATGCATTTATCAAGTTATTCTATGAGAAATCTTCCCTCCAGGATATTGGGTGAGAGGGAGCATGATTAATAAATGGGAATGGCATGCATATGTGTGGAATGGGTGATGCAAAGGACAATCACATTTTGCAGAACATATTCCGAGGAAGACACTCTGCTCAGTATGGCAAAAATTTCAAATACAAACCTACAAGAAAATTCCAATATGGGTAGCACTAACAGAAACTTTCACTTAAAATGATTTGAATCATAAGGGAGCATTACTCACATATAAAGACCTATTAACTAAAGGCCAGAATATAAAAGATAAACAAGATTGAGAGAAACTGGGCCTAGTTCCAGATTGGTGGTCAATGTTGAAATTAGAAGTGAGATATAAAAAGGACCAAATTATGGGCTTTTTTGAGGGGAAAGTCCAGGTAGATGAATTATGGATTTACACTAATGAGAAAATAATTTTTTAAAAAAGTATGCATACTTATTATAACATGACTTAGAGGATGAGAGGGTGAAGGAGGCAATGGTAAAATGGGCACAAAACTTGGGTACAATATTGATATTGACGAATGGACAAAGATGTGGGTCGAAAATCATAAAATCATTAACCCATTGAATCTTAGAGAAAACGCCCTCAAAATGTTTCATAGATGGCGCTTTAACCCTGTAAGATTGGCAAAAATGTCAGAAGGGATCAGTAATGATTGCTGGAAATGTAAAAAAAAAAAATCTAGGGACTAACTGTCATATGTGATGGTCATGTGAGAGAGCAATTTTTTTTGGATATATGTTTAGGAAATGGCAAAAGAGATTGTCCAACAAAAATTAAGTTTTAAACCTGAAATGTTATTATTTAACATAATGCAGAAATTAACAACAAAAAAATAAATTATAGTCTATATATTCACAGCAGCTAGGTTACTCTGGGCCCAAAAAATGGGAGAATGTAGAGACACCAATGACTGATGAGTTATTAAATAAGCTATTGGATATTGCACAACTAGACATGCTTTCAAAGGTGAAAGTTGATATTATAATTGGGCCCATAAAAACAAGGATCTTAGGGGAAAAATTAGTCCATAATGAACCAGTGTTCACTGGAAACCAGTGCCCATTGGATTCGTGGTGCCTCCACTTATGAACGCTCCTACTTATGAACATTTCAACTTACAAAGAGCTCCGTTTGAAAAATTTTGCTTCATCTTGCGACTGGAGCTTCGAACTATGAACAGAAAAAAAAAACCCTTTGTTTTTGCAAAGGTTTGTGCTGGCTGGTGGGTTCTAAAATGGAGTTTAGACTCAAGTCTCTCTCCCCCCATTGTCTTCCCCCTCTCTGTCCCTTCTCCCTCTCTGTCCTCTCTCTTTTTGTGTTGAAAAGCACAAACTGAAGCGTCTGTGTTCCCCAGTGATGACCTTCTTTCTTTCCTCTTTTCCCCATTGTTCATTACATCCCTCCTTTCCTGCACTTTTTTCAATCTAAGCCATCTTAGGTTAAAAAGAAAAAAGAAAAATACTCCTCCTAGTGGTAGAGGACAGATTAACCAGCTTTCCATTCGTGCCTATGGGAACTAATTCTTCGACTTAGAAATGGCGGCTCTAAATAGGAACCAAAAATAGCCAGAATGAATTAATTGGATTTCAGTGGATTCCTATGGGAAATGCAGATTTGACTTACAAACATCTTTTTGATGATCTGATGACAGGGAAATCTCTGCTCCACAGGGTAAGGAAGGATGTTTAGTTTGTGGGTTTTTTGGTTAATTATTTGTTAGATTTTTATGTTTTTTAAGTTTGTATGGTTAGACATGAATAAAATGTTTTTTTAAAAAAAGAAATTAAAAAAAAGGTACCTGAAGATAAGTTCTCCTCTATTTTTCCTTCACAGTTCAATGCATGGGCATGATGTATTGATCAGGTTATTCTACGAGAAACCTTCCTTCTAGGATAGTGGGTGAGAGAGAGCAGGAAATGCACAAGAAGAGGGGGACTAACCCTACACAGAGCTGTGTGTTATGCAAGGCAACCTGTTTTGCCCTTTTCTAGAAGGGCACCCAAATGTCAAAGGTGCAAAGGTTCATTGCTGGAAGGGCGTAATCTCATCCATTCTTGTTTCCCTTGTTCTCCTGAAGGAATAATCATGGCGCCCTATGGCCAGGCCTGGAAGGAACAGCGGAGGTTTTCTCTGATGGTTCTCCGGAATTTTGGGCTCGGCAAGAAGTCGATGGAGGAGAGAATCCTGGCGGAAGTGGCGTATTTGGTTCAAGCATTTACGGAAAACATGAGTAAGGTTTGGCGAGGAGATGATAGGCTGAATATGCATTTCATGACTCCTGCGTTGGGATTTAAGCCAACCCTCTGCTTGTCCTAGGATTTAGGAGCACCCAAAGGGCCGGGCCATGACCTCATTCAGTTTGGATGTAAAGAGAGAGAGTTAAAAATTGTAAACCATCCAGAGTTTAACTTTGGTCTAGATGGGTGGGATAGAAATTCAATGAATAAATGAATCAATGAATCAATGAATAAACAAACAAATAAATAAATCTTACCAATCATGGTTTTGAAGATGATGGGGGGGAACATTAATTAACAAGCCATTACTTTTCCCATTGTTTTCTGCTACAGAGGCTCCTTTCGACCCTTTCTGTTTCACGGACCGTGCCGTGACGAACATAATATCTACCATGGTATTTGGGAAACGTTTCGAATATGATGATGCCACCCTCCGGAAAGTGCTGGACCTGCTCCATCTGAACTTGAAACTTTCGACAGGACCCTGGGCACTGGTAAAGCCAACTAGACAATGTAAAAGCACAATCTTAAGCAGCCGGAGCTGAGCTGAGGGCCAGGTGAGCTGACCCTCATCCAGCTGAAGCTGGGCTAAATGCAAGCCTGGTCCATCCTAAGATACCAGATATGATCCTTAGCCGCAAGTGGTCCCAGAACCATCAGGTGAACGACCCTGCACTAGAACACCCAGGTTATATTACTGAGTTGGAGAACCAACGTCCTCTTAATGGGAATGTGTGGACGTCTGTCTTGGTTTACACCTGCATAATTTAAGTTTCCTTGTTTC